ACAAATGTTTTAAATCAAAATTATATCAAATATCTTATCTGATCACAATGGAATAAAATGATATCAATAGAAAGAAAAACATTCAAAACTATAAAAATCTATGGAAATTAAGCAGCATAATCCTGAACAAACAATGGGTGAAGGAAGAAATTAAGAATGAAATGTTAATACTTGTTGAAACAAATGAAAATAGAAACACAATGGAAAAGCAGTATTAAGAGGGAAGTTTACAGCAATAAATGCCTACATCAAAAAAACATCAAAAAAAAATAAACTAGAAAGAAAATAAAGGACTTAAGGATGTACCTCAAGGAACTAGAAGGCAAGAACAAACCAAACCCAAAATTAGTAGAAGAAAAGAAATAGTAAAGATCAGAGCAGAAGTAAACAAAATTAAACAAAAACACAATACAAAAAAGCAAAAAATGAAAATTGGATTTTTGAAAAGAAAACGTTGATAAACCGTTAACTAGACTAACTTTGAAAAAAGAGAAGGCTCAAGTAAATAACATCAGCAATGAAAAAAGAGAAATCACAATGGATATCACAGAACTACCAAGGATCATTAGAGACTGCCATGAACAACTGTAGAAACTGATAAATTTCTGGACACATACAACTTACCAAGATTGAACCAAGAAGAAATAGAAAACCTGAACAGACCAAGACAAGTAACAAGATTGAATCAGTAATAACAAGTCTTTCAACAAAGAAAAGTCCAGGTCTAGATGACTTCACTGCTGAATCCTACAGAACTTTTAAAGAAGAATTAATACTGCTTCCTCTTAAACTATTCCAAAATATTAAAGCAGAGGAAATTCTTCCTAACTCATTCTTCAAGACCAGAATAACTTTGATACCAAAACCAGACAAGGACACAACAACAACAGCAAAAAGAAAACTACAGTCCATTATCTCTTGAGTACACAGATGCAAAAATCCTCCACAAAATACTAGTAAACTAAGTTAAGCAACACATCAAAAAATAATAACCATGATCAACTGGGCTTTATCACAGGAATGCAAGGATAGTTCAACCTACACAAATCAACAAACATCATACATACATCAGTAGAATGAAGGGAAAAAACTGATCATCTCAATAGATGCAGAAAAATGTTTTGATAAAATTCAACATCTCCATGACAAAAACTCTTAATAAATTAAATATATAATCAAAGTAACTCAACATAATAAATATCATGTATGACAAACCCACTGTTAACATCTTACTGAATGAAGAAAAGCAGCAGGGGGGAGGGCATCCTTGTTTCAGTGCTTAGAGGAAAAGAAAGCTATAACTCTTAGAACTGATAATTTAGTAAAGCTGCAGTATTCTAATATACAAAAATCAGTAGCATTACTATATATGATGACACAGTTTAGATATTTGTCCCCTCCAAATCTCATGTTGAAATTTGTTCCCCAATGTTGGAGGTGGGGCCTAATGGCAGGTATTTAGAGCATGGAAGCAGATCTCTAATGAATGTCTTGGTGCCATCTTCATGGTAATGAACCAGAACTGATTGTATTTTAAAAGCCTGGCACCTTCCTTCCATCTTTCTCTCTCCCTTCACCTCACTATGTAAGGCAACTTCCTCTTGCCTTCTTCCATGAGTGGAAGGTTTGAGGCCCTCATCAGAAGCATATGCTGGTGCCATGCTTCTGTTACAGCCTGCAGAACTGTGAGCCAAATAAACTTAATTTCCTCATAAATTATCCAGCCTCAGGTATTCCTTTATAGTAACACACATGGATTAAGGCACATGAACAATGAACTAGCTGAAAAAGAAAGGCAATCCCATTTACAATAGATCCAAAAAAAAAAAAAAAAAAAAAAGTGCCTAGGAACAAACTTAGCCAAGGAAGTAAAAGATCTCTACAAGGAAAACTACAAAATATTGATGAAACAAATTAAAGAGAACACAAAAATATGGAAAGATATCTCATTCTCATGGATAGGAGAATGACAATACTACCCAAGGCAATCTACAGATTCAGTGCTCTCTCTATCAAAATACCAATGACACTCCTACAGAAATAGAAAAAAAATCATAAAATTTGTATGGAATCACAAAAAAACCCAAATAGCCAAAGTAATCCTGAGCAAAAGGAACAAAGCTGGAACTATCATCACATTAGCAGACTTCAAATTATACTACAAAGCTGCAGTAACCAAAACATCTACGGCATGGTACTGGCATAAAAACAGACACACAGACCAATGGAACAGAATGGAGAACCCAGAAACTAATCCATATATCTACAGCCAACTGATTTTTGACAAAGGTGCCAAGAATATTCACTGAGGAAAGGACAGTTTCTTTAATAAATGGTACTGGGAAAAGTAGATATTCACATGCAGAAGAATGAAACTAGACCCCTTTCTACTCTATACAAAAATCAACTCAAAATGAATCAAAGATCTAAATGTAAGACCCAAAACTATAAAACTGCTAGAAGAAAACATAGGGTAAATGCTTCAGAACATTGGTCTGAAAAAAAAGATTTTATGAATAAGACCTTGAAATCACAAGCAACAAAGGCAAAACTTAACGAACAGTGTTATATCAAACTAAAAGATTTTTACATGGTGAAGAAAACAATCAAAGGAGTGGTAAGACAACCTATAGAATGGGAGAAAACATCTGCAAACCAATCATCCAAGAAGTGATTAAAATCCAGGATATAAAATAAGCTGCAACATCTCGACAGTAAAAAAAAGATTTAAAAATAGGTAAATGATCTGAATACACATTTCTCAAAAGAAGACATGCAAATAGACAACAGGTATGTGAAAAAATGCTCAACATCTCGAATCATCAAGGAGACACAAACCAAAACCACAATGAGATATCATCTCACCCTAGTTAGGATGGTTATTATCAAAAAGACAAAAAATAACAAATGGCAGCAAGAGTGCAGATAAAAGGGAACTCTCGTGCACTGTTAGTGGATATGTAAATTAGTACAGCCATCATGGCAAACAGTATGGAGGTTTCTCAAAAACTAAAAATAGAACTACCATGTGATCCAGCAATCCCACTGGGTATGTATCCAAAGGAAAAGAAATCAGTGTATCAAAAGGATACCTGCACCCCATGTTTATTGCAGCACTATTCACAATAGCCAAGATATGGAATCAACCTGAGTGTCCATCAACGAATGAAGGGATAAAGAAAATGTGGTATATATACACAATGGAATGCTATTCCACCATAAAAAGAATGAAATCTTATCATGTGCAGCAACAGGGATGGAACTGGAGGCCATTATGACAAGTGAAATAAGCCGGCCATAGAAAGACAAATATTGCCTGTTCTCACTCACATGTGGGAGCTTAAAAAGTTGATCTCATGGAGGTAGAAGTAAAATGATAGTTACCAGAGGCTAGGAAGGGTGTGGGGGAAGCGGATGAAGAGAGGTTGTTAAGGGTAAAAACATACAATTAGAGAGAAGGATCTGATCATCACACACGGTACCTGATTTGATCATCACACATGGTACCTGATCTGATCGTCACACATGGGTGCCTGGTCTGATCATCACACATAGGTAACTGACTGCATCATCACACACAGGCACCTGATTTGATAATTACATTACTCAGCAAATGTACACCCTTATTTATGCATTTTATTGTTTGAAAATGTTACCTAAAAAGGAAAAATAACGATAAACAAATGTTTAATGATATGCACGCAGAAGTATTTAAGAAGTGAACTGATGTTTGCAACTGGCTTTGAAATGCATAAAATAAGATAGATTGGTGATGGACATAAGGATAATCAATTAAAGATAACAAGTTAATGACAGAATGTAGGTGATTGATGCATAAATTAAAGAATAAGAATGCCCTTCTCTGAAAGGAACTAAATCAAGAAAGCCCCGTGTATCTCCTGCAGGTCATTAAAAAGAAAGGCTGGATAACCCCATCTCTCACCCTTTGTGGTGCCAGGACCACAAAACCTCACACAGGGAGGAGAGCATTTCTCGTGTATTCCTTGACCTCACACCAAGAGGAGTTGGTTTGGAGAGTTGGGGTTTGGGTGATTTTCTCCAAAGCAGGATATGAAGAAACCCCCACCCCCACCCCATCTACACAGACCAGGCAGTATGCACAGTGGGCATATCTGACTCTTGACTCATCCCCGGACGAGAACCCATGACTAAAAGAAGACACGGCCAGTGGCACCCCCCAGATAAATGCTCCTGCATTGCTCCCAGGGCCCAGTTGCCAGTGAAAGGGAGTCAAGCAGGTGCGTGGCGTGTCGGAGGGTGGTAAGTGGCCTTTTTGGGTTCCTGCTCAGCTAGCCACTGGCTCTCCCTTAGCTCCCTGCTGCCCTGTAGCCCTGACTGCACCTACCCATAGGGCCTTGAGATGTTGGAAGTTCCACGTTGAATGATGGCAGTCGCGTGGGGGAGCACATTATTTCTAAATCAATGCGTTAATTACCTTCTTGTTCCTTGCTGCTTGCATGAGATTCTCAAAGTCATATGTTGAAATTAGTTTGTTAACACCTGGAACATTTCACACTGGCCACTTCCTTTCCTTTTACCCGATGCAAGAACACATTCTCCTCAGCGCCACTGTTACATCCTCGTTCCGCAGGGAGTAGGTGAGGGGTTCAGGGTGGGGCTGACCACTGTGTACAGCACAGCCCCCACTCTGCTGTTGTCCATGGAGGAGCTGGAGCCCAGGATGGTGGAGTAGTACATGCAGACCAGGTGTAGGCGACGGTGGAGTAGTACATGCAGACCAGGTGTAGGCGACGGTGGAGTAGTACATGCAGACCATGCAGACCAGTGGTGCGTAGGCGACGGTGGAGTAGTACATGGCAGACCAGGTTAGGCGACGGTGGAGTAGTACATGCAAGCCAGGTGTAGGCGACGGTGGAGTAGTACATGCAGACCAGGGTGTAGGTACGCGGTGGGAGTATGTACATGCAGACCAGGTGTAAGGCGACGGTGGAATATAGCATGCAAGGGACCAGCAACAGGGCGGGGGAGCACGTGGAGAAGGCCTGCGGCTTTGCCCTCCGCAGTGCGGATGCGCAGGATGCTGCAGGGGCTGGCAATGATGCAGCGGGTGGGACACCATGGTTAGCAGGAAGTTGACCACGCCAAAATAAACGTCTATGACCATGATCATGATGTTGTTCAGGGCTGTTGGACTGCAGGACAGCAGTAGCAGGGTGGGGACCTCACACAAAAAGTTCTGGTTCTGACCAGAGCCACAGAAGCTGAGCCTCAGGCCCGTGTGCACGGACGTGCTGACCACACTGACCACTCACCAGCATGCCTAAGCAGACGGCCACGTAGCCGTCATAGGCCATGGCGGTGAGCAGCAGCAGCTCGGCCCCCAGAAACCACGTCAGGAAGAGCTGGCTGTGGCCACCAGCCCCTCCGGCAATTTGGGGAGGACAATGGATGTGCAGACAATGTCTAAAAGGACCCGGTGGGGGAGAAAGAAGTGCATTGGAGTGTGGAGGCCTGGATTCAGGCTGATGGTCACGACCATGAGGATGTTTCCTGCAAGGGCATTCGGGTAAAAGAGGAGGAAAAAAAGCAAAGAAGCAGCCCTGGAGCCGACGGTCTTCAGAGAAACCCCGCAGGACAAACTTCTGTACAGCTGTGTGGCTGTTTCCTTCCATTAGGAGTGCGAGGCCTTTACAGGTCACTGGGCACAGCTAGTGCCACCAGCACAGGAACTGGGTGGCTAGGCGACCTGTCCCCGTGCTCGCTGTCCTACTGAGACTCTGGGAAAGTTTGCTGTTGGCAACTTTGCTGCAGAAAGCACATAATTAAGATGTTAACATGGCTCCCTGCGCCCAGGGAGAAGTCAGCATTAACCCTCCACTCTGCGGGGAGTCAGGAAGCCCAGCCTTGCTCACCCCCAAGGACAGTGCTCCCTGCCTGCCTGCAGTGGGGCCCGCATCACAGTAAATAACAAAAGTGCAGCAAGAGCCTCTCATTGCTTTGACTTTAAACATTTCCTCCGTTATCCCAACACACAGAAGCTCGTGGTGTGCAAGTGTGCCTAGCCCCCGAGGCAGGCGGAGACCAAGTCAGTGACCTGGGCGCAGGACTGTGGGTCCCAGAGAAGAAAAACCACCCAGCAGGAGTGGGCCAGGCTTTATGGAGAATTGTGGGCAGAGCAGTACCTAGGTGCGAGGCAAGAGACTGAAGACACAAACTGTTTCAGTGTAATAAAGACAATAGTTAGAACAAGAATAGTCATAATACAAATTAGATATAGACATGATCATGGATAATTATCAATCATTAGTATAAACATTATCAATCATTGGCTTTTAATATTACTCTTCGTTGCATTACTAATATAACCAAGGAATAACCGGCGGGCATAGGGTCAGGTGCTGAAGGGACACTGTGAGAAGTGACGAAGAAGACAAGAGGTGAGCCTTCTGTCACGCCCGCATAAGGGCCGCTTGAGGACTCCTTGGTCAAGCGGTAACGCCAGTGTCTGGGAAGGCACCCGTTACTTAGCAGACCGTGAAAGGGAGTCTCCTTTCCTTGGAGGAGTCGGGGAACACTCTGCTCCACCAGCTTCTTGTGGAAGGCTGGATATTATCCAGGCCTGCCCGCAGTCATCTGGCGGCCTAAACCCCTCCCTGTGGTGCTGTGCTTCAACGGTCACACTCCTTGTCCGCTTTCATGTTCCTCCTGTACTCCTGGTACCTCTTTGAAGTTGGTAGTAGACAGCGGTAGAAGAAACAGTGAAAGTCTGAAAGTCTTTGATCTTTCTCATAAGTGCAGAGAAGAAAACGCTGACGTATGCTGCCTTCTCTCTCTACTTCCGCTACCTAAGAGGGAAGGGCCCTGTGTCCTGTGATCACGTGACTTGCTTCACCTTGTCAATCACTTAGAAGATCCACCCTCCTTACCCTGCCCCCTTGTCTTGTATGCACAAAATATCAGCGTGCCCAGCCGTTCAGGGCCACTACCAGTCTCCACGTCTTGGTGGTAGTAGTCCCCCGGGCCCAGCTGTTTTCTCTTTATCTCTTTGTCTTAAGTCTTTATTTCTTACGATCTCTCATCTCCACACATATGGAGAATACCTGCTGAGCTTCGTAGGGCTGGACCCTACAGAGAATTAGCCTCAGGACAGCACAGGTTTCACCTGCAGAGGCTGGGGAGGGGCATCTCCAAAGGGAGGGATGTGGGGACATCAGGGCAGTGAGTGGCTCCAACTACCGCCAGGCCAGACTCCAGCTCTTTTGGCCAGGTGACCTCAGCTGTCAGATTTCGGCTGTGGGTTGACCTCGCCACAGCTCTTTAGTGGAAACCATGACTGCGGCCCTACCTCAGCCGCCCCAGGCCACTCCCTCAGGAGGGCAGACTCCGTGCAGATGCGAGCACGGACTGGCCATCCCTGTTCCTGGTCTGGGTGGGAGGTTTTTTCCCTCAGTGGGTGTCAGGCTGTGTCCGAGACTAGATCCATCAAAGAAAGGCACAGACCCAGCCTCAGCCCAGCCCCCAATCCAGTGTCTCCACCCAACCAACCTCACATACCTCTCCCACCACCCATCTCTGACCACCTAGCCTCCTCAGGCAGGACAGGCCCAGCCCAGGGCAAGGAGATGCGGTTTAGTCAACATCAGAGGAAACAAGGCCAAGCCCACTTCCTTCTTAGCCCAGGCAGCCCCCAGCCAGGGGGCCCCCAGCCCAGGCAGCCCTCAGCCCAGACAGTCCCCAGCCAGGGAGCCCCCAGTCCAGGCAGCCCCCAGCCCAGGCAGCCCTCAGCCCAGGCAGCCCCCAGCCCAGGCAGCCCTCAGCTCAGGCAGTCCCAAAGACCCCCTGGCTGCCCAGTCTGAGGCCCAAAATCCACCCTCCTTCACAGGAGCCCATTTGCCTGCGGAGCCGAGGGCAGGGCTGACACTTCCCCGGAGCCTTGCACCAGATTCACAGGAAGCTTCCAGGCCCCTCTTACAGATCCTGATCTGCCTTAGAGGCCAAACCACAGGGCTCCAGCTTCTTGCTCACCTGATCGAGGGCACAGATAGGGCACAGAGCAACCCACAGAGGTTTCCAGACACAGTTTCAAACGGAAACCCTCAACACAACAGCAAAGCAATTTCAGTCACCTTTTTTCCACGTTAAAGTAGGTCAGGGCAGGGTACAATCAGACCTGACTTTTCAAAAACATTGAAAGGAAAATTAGGTGGGTCATCCATGCGGAAGGCAGGCATGGAGGGTCACAGCCACTCACTGGGTGAGGAGTGTGGCTGGGCCAGCTCCTGTCTAAACAGAGTGTCCACATCTCCATGGACACGACGGTGCCTCAAAGCTAACGCCTGTCTCCTCCCAGTCAGTGTTTCCTGTGCTTGATGCTGAGCTTTGAGTGAAGTCTGTCCCCGGGGGGTGGACGCTGAGGTTGCTAGAGGCCCATGTGCCCCCAGGAGCAGCTCTCAGGGAGCACTTACCCCACGTGGAGGTAGAAAGGGGTCCCCGTGGGAACTGCCCCCAGGCTTGAGGAGACACAGGCCAGGGCACCTGCGGGCTTCTGGATGATGGACCTGGGGAGAACAAAGCCAGAGTTGGTGGCTTCTCCCCAGCACCTCTGCCCTGCGCACACAAGGACCGTGTGCAACCCTCCCTGCCGGAGGATGGAATTTTATTTAAATAGACTTAATCTTTTAGGATAGTTTTAAATTTGCCCCCACCCAGTTTCCCCCGTTACTGACACATGCCATTAGCATATGTTACATTAATGTGCCAGTATCGATCCTGTACTATCCACTGCAATCCATGGCTGATTCCCATTTCCTCCTAACCGCCTTCTGTCCACATCACAATTAGGAGTTTCCTTAGGCTTCTCTGGACTGCGACATTTTCTCAGACTTTCCTTGCTTTTGATGAACTTGGTAGTTTTGGAGAATATTGGCCAGGTATTTTGTATTTGCCAGGTATTCCCTTGACTGGGATTTGCCTGATTATTTTTTTTACTCGTGATTAAAGTTATGGGTTTTGGGGAGGAAGGACACAGAGGCACGTGACATTCTCATCCCACCACACCAGGGTGCACGCTGTCAGCACGTCTTGCTGTTGATGTGAACTTGAGAAGGTCAGTATTTTCATCACATTTCTTATGTGCCCATCCAGACACTGAGGTGGCCTGCAGTGTCTAGGGAGACACTGTCCTGCCTTCAACGATGGAGCATCCAAAGGGTCTGAGGAGACTAACAGTCTTCTGGTAGGCTGGAACCCAGGCCCTACTCTGCACCCAGCTGGCCTGGCCATGTCGATGAGGCATGGTGAACCCACAGGGGATTGACTGACTTTCTTGTTTGGGCCAAAGGCCCACAACTGATTGGTAAAGCATGTGTAGGTGGTCACAGAAAGTGCCCATAGGTAGAACTGAGATGATAATCGTGCTCAGGAGAAACCTGGCAATTTATCTTAGTGACCAAGTGCAGAAAATAAGACATGCAGAAAACAGCCATTGCAAAAGAACCAGAGACGTGGCCATGGCTGATTTAAAGTGGTTCTTAATTTCACAAAAGGAAGACGACTGGCCCCTTTAATTTTCCAAACCTCCTAACGTCCTTCATCTCAATCGGTCAGCACATATTTTTAATCTCTGGCCAATGATTATCTATTTTCCATGACAGTGTATGTAATAGCATTTCAGCAACTCAAGATTTGAACACTTCCTCTAATTTATTCAAATGTGATATAACCTTCAGCTATGCCAGATGTTCCTAATCAAACACACCACATTTCTTTAAAAATAATGTTGATTTATAAAAACATTCAGTATCAAAGGTCACTGCAACACTGATTTAAGGTTATTTCATGGCCCACAATAAGCAACCATATTTGTAGCATTTAAACCTCAAAATCCAAGCTCAGTGGTAAGATGCGGGGAGCACCTGCTACACACCTGGAACTGTCCCAGGGCTACAGGGACCCTCGCAGCCCAGTGAGAGTCCCTCATCTTCCAACGTTTTGGGATCCTCAGGCAGCAGGGCCAACTCCAGCAAGGCTCAGCAGGTCTGAGTCACCTGACTACTTTCAACCGAGCACTCCCTGGGGGACCCTGTGCTCAGCCTATGGGAAACAAGCTAAGCAAAGGGGCTTCCTCAACTCTGGGGTCAGTGAGATACCCACCAACAATTAAGCGCAGGATGTTCCCTTGGGAGCGGTCTCTGTACTCACCTGTTCTTACACTGCTATAAAAAAATGCCCGAGACTCTGTAATTTATAAGAAAAGAGGTTTAATTGGCTCATGGTTCTGCAGGCTGCACAGAAAGGACAGTGGCGTCTGCTTCTGGGGAGGCCTCAGGAAGCTTCCGGTCATGGTGGAAGGTCAAGGGGGAGCAGGTGCTTCACATGGCAAAACAGGAACAAGAAAGAGGTAAAGATGCCACACTCAACGACCAGATCTCAGGAGGGAGATGCCACACTCAATGACCAGATCTCAGGAGGGAGACACCACACTTTCAACTGACCAGATCTCAGGAGGGAGACGCCATACTCAATGACCAGATCTCAGGAGGGAGATGCCA